GCATTAGTACTGACTCGGGGTTAGAAAACTGACACACTATATATGACTACGAGTTTACTCAGTCGATGACACATTAGTCATGTGCATTATGGGGAAACAGAAGAAAGTCAATTTCTTGAAAAGTGACAAAGCGCCAAAGACAATAAAATCAGACCTTGTACAAACTGGTGGAGAACCACAAAGCTATGAAAAAATCTTGCAGGATGAGAATTCGAGCAAGTGGGAGAGGACCAAGGAGGAGGCGGATTCCCTGCCAGGGAATCAGACTTGGGAGCTTACAGAACTTTCACCAAGGAAGAAGACATTCAACAACAAGTGGGTGTACCTGATAAAGACTGCTCTTGATAGGAGTAAGAGATACAAAGCTGGACTTGTTGAAAAGGGCTTTCAACAGAGGCAGGATATTGCTCATGCAATGAAAATTGTAAGCAGATACATGAGTAACCCAAGAAAGTGCTTTGTGGTACAAGACTACGTTGGCGGTGATATGTCAACTGAGGGTGTTACTCGTGAGAAGCTGAAGTTTTGCTCGACTTCAGCCAGTTTTCTGGCATGAAGACGGGGGCTTTGAGTTGTAGATGTGGAAAATATCATGTTTGAGGAAAATGTTGGTACAACTAGTAGATGATGCAGCCAGTGTCTCAGTCTCCAAGTGGAAGAATTGTTGGGTAATGAGGATACCTTGTCCATTGCAATTTAATTAGCTTCCTAATTAACAATCTAACCTACCTGTCACGGACTAACTTTCCTCAAGTCACCCGTGCGGCTTTAGCGCTCTTTCTTAGCACTAAATCAGCCTTACCCCTCACAACACTGGACTTATGAGCCCCAAACACTCTTAAGAAGAATAATAGAGAGAAAGTAATAATTAGCACTTGAATACTAGAATGCTTTGATTCAATGCTTGGGTAAATACAAATGAGGGGAGGAGCTTCTATTTATAGCCTCCTCCATGCCTTTGGCCTTTCATCTAGCCAATGTGGGACTATTCCAAGTCCAAGAGAAGTTTCTAGATTACAATATAATATTCTATCTCTTAGACTATTCTTATGTACATACATAACTCTAGAACATTCTAGGTTATTCTTAGATTCTCTTTAAAACTTTTCCTTCTTGCTCTCTCCTGAATGTGGTGGAATCTTCTAGAGCCCCTTTGATGACTCTTTATATCCTGACATTCTCTAGAATCTTCCATCTCGTTTTCGTCTTGACGACTTCTCGAATATGGTGGAGCTTGACACTCTCCCCCACTTAAAGCCGCAATGCCCTCATTGCGGCTTCCCCTGCACCTTCGAAACTGCCTCTTCGATTTGCCCCCACACTTGGCAATCTTTGGCTTCTCCTTGGTGCAACACATCTTCCTGGATGACGGCTTATCTCTTGCCTCCACCACATTCCTTGGCGTCCCAACTCTTTGGGACTTTTCTCCTTCATTGTTATGAAGGATAGCCAAGTTGTCCCCCTTGTCCTGTGAAATGCCATCCCTGAACTGGATTGCCGATAGCGTTTTGGATCCTTGCTTGCTTAACCTTATTATCGGTATTGAGCAAGCTAGACTCCCTTCCGTGATGCATAGGCTATTGGCAAATGGCATTGGGAATGCTCTTGCTTGTTCTAAGAAGTTCATTCCCAGGACAGCTTTGTAATCATCCAAAGGAATGACAGAGAAATCTAGATTACCTGACCATGCCCCAATGCTGGTCTTGACTCCCTTAGCCACTCCGTCGATCGGCATCTCTGCTGAGTTGATGACTTTGATAGAGCCCCCTCCTTTAGTCATCCGCAACCCCAATCTCTTTGCTTCCTCGCTGGAGATGAAGTTGTGGGAAGCCCCCGTATCTACCATTGCCCTGGTAGTCTTCCCTCCTATTGTCATCTCTACAAAGAGTAACCCCCTCCCTTGGGGTTTTGCTGGAGCTTGCATTGCATTCAGCTGTTGAAGAGATCCCACATGTGCCTCCACGTCATTTTCCCTGTCACTTTCTTCTTTATGACTTGCAAGCAGAGAGTTGAGGGCCTTCTTTTGAGGGCAATCTCTTGCCCGATGTGGTCCTTCACAAAGAAAGCATCGATTTTGATATGGCTTGTTGTTGGTCTTCCCCTTACCCCATGCCTTTGTTGGAGTTGATTCACGACGTTTCTCTTCCTTGTTTGTCTTTGTCATCGCCACCTTTGATGTTGCAACTCTTATTGTCTTTAGGTTTTCTAGGCTCCTTTGAGTAATCAACCAAACTTTCGGCAACCGCGATGGCAGTGACAAGATCTTGCACTCCTCGCCTCCTAAGCTCAGTCTTTGCCCAATGTTGAAGCCCATCCATGAAGTTGAAGAGAGCATCCTTATCTGATATATCTGGGATTTCAAGAACTAGGCTTGTAAACTCTTTGATGTAGTCTTGAATCAAACCTTCTTGCTTAAACCTTCGAAGCCGTGCTCAAGCATTCTCGGGATAAAACTGTCTCTTTAGCTCCCTCTTGAAGTCATTGAAAGTGGACATGGTGCACAAACCTTTCTCTACATCTCCTTTTCTTCTTCTCCACCAAAGCATAGCGATGTCTGAGAGATAAAGAGAAGCAAATTGAATTTTTGCATCTTCATCGACAATCCCCATCGCTCCAAAGTATTGCTCTAGTCCCCATATGAAGTTGTCTACTTCCTTTGCGTTGCGAGTACCTCCAAAACTCATAGGTTTTGGAACTTCGATCCTCCTGGCTTCGAAAGTGGGATGGCTTGTGGATGATGAGAGTGCCTTCTTGCACAACGAAATGTCCCCACGCATTTCCTCTAAGCTAACATGTATGTCGCTCATCTCTTTTTTATAGGTACTTCGCACTTCTTGGAGCTTCCCCATAAAATCATCCCGCAACTTAGCCACTTGGCCCATTAAGGTCTTTTCAAGTTGAAGCATCATACCTCTGATTGTTGAATGGATGGTGACGTCCTCCTCCTCGAGTCCATCAACCCTTTGGCCAAGTTCCTCTACTTGGCCCTCCATGCCATTCATTGCCTCCTCCATCCGAGCAAGGCGAGAATCAAAGCTATGCATGATCTCCTTAGACCTTCCATGTGGCTTGGGTGCAACGGGGTCCCTTTGCTCCTGGCGACCTCGCCCTTGAGATGACTCCACATTAGTG